GGATTTCTTATAATTAGGGTTAGGGTGTAGGGTTTAGGGTTTAGGGGTTTAGGCTTTAATATAAGGGTTTAGGGTTAAGGGTTTAGGCTTTAGGGTTTAGGGGTTTGGGCTTTAGGGTTTAGGGTAGGGTTTCTAATTAGGGTTCAGGGGTTTAGGGTTTAGGGTTTATGAGGGTCCGTAATTAAAGGAACAACCTGGCAGAGTAAATTAGGGCAGTTTTTCCTTAACATCTAGGGTTTAGGGTTTCCTGCCACGAAAACTAGGCTGGTAACACGAGGTGACCCCTAATTATAAGCCTGGCGGATTGAAACCCAGATGGCGTGAAGCCCGAAACCCTGGTAATCCTATAGAATAAAGTAAAATGAGCACATCCGAATACCCTCAAGATCCGAAAGCCCGACAGGCACAAACCTATCTAGCTTTATATCCCAGATGTCGCCACCCTCTAGTCCAACCCTGTCTTAATATTGATTTCCTAGCCCTGCAGACAGCAGGGGGCCCAAATCCTGAACACGAAGCCCCTGATGAGACCTCTATCTGATCTCTTAAATTTTGCAATCGCTTCACCCTAATTAATTCGACTCCCTTCCCAACAACTTCTTCTTACTCAAACCTTAGAAGCCGGCCAGGGGCACCTCCGGATGAACTGCAGAGCTCGAGGCAAGTCGATCCGGCTTTTGGGCTGGCCCGAATATACCCGAACGGGTTGCGAAACTTCGAAAGGGATATGGATAGGGCCCTAAACCTTAAACCCGAATATACCCCTTAATATTATAATTCGGCTTTTGGGTTGCGGGGCTTGGAAAGGGATATAGATATGGCACGAAACCTCAACAGGCCCGTTTAGACCCTGCAGGGTATCAGAAACCCTAAACCCTAAGCGGGTTTTGGCTTGGAGGGCGAACAGGATGTAGATATCTAGATATTTCGGGTCGGGGGAAGATACAGATATGAGTCAAGGTTCTCGGTGATACTGGCATTTTAAAATAATGACAGGACTTGGTTTCAGGATAGTATAATTATAATATAGCTAGGGTTTAGGGTTTAGGGGTCTAGGGGTTTCGTGGTTTAGGGGTGTAGGGGTTTCGGGGTTGAGGGGTTTAGGGCTAGTATCTAAGGACCCATCTGGGCTGAAGCCCGAAACCCTGCAAGAGTGGATCCAATCTCCAAATGTTCGAAAACACCCATGCCCGAAGCCCG